ACTCTTAGCTACTATTCCTGACACAAGAATTCACAGAGAAAGGTGTTTCTGAACAGAAATCAGCAGAGAAGGCAAAGAACATTCCAGAAGATTTATCCTGGCTGTAATTTCAAGACACTATGTTTTAATTGTTTTTTTCTTATTACTTTGGTTCATATGAGTGGGATTTATAATTATTGGAACAGCATACCGTTAGATTTTTGTTTTATTCAGGATTAATTAGTAGTTGGGGGGGGATTGTTTGGTTTGCTAGTAGTTCTGTTAATTTGTTCAATGTTAGAGTTAGATAAATAAATTATTACATGTTGTTTATAAAGTGAGTATCGGGGAGTTCATTTCATTTAACCATCCCTTTTGTAACACTGCCAAAAGCCCTAGTGATGATCCATAACACCGTAACCCGAACAATGGGTTTCAAACCCAACCTGCTGATTTCCAGAAGGGAAATGAGAGAGATTAAAAGTTTAACCGAACTGGACATTAGCAACCTCAAGATTGAGGTGCTAACCAGAGAAAAGTATATAAAAATATTGTTGGAGACCATAAAAGAGGCCAGATTGTGGCAGTGCATAGATTAGGGGAGGTAAGACAACCACGTAAGGTTCTGTGGAACAATACATGAACCCCATGGACTATAATGTGAGTCCACAGCAATGCTTAGGGTGTTCCAATCCTGAATTTTCCTGTCGCCATGGCACACTGGGCCCTACCTGATCATTAAAAACTTAAGTCCTCCAGTTTATGAATTACAGCTGGAAATAGACAAACAGGGATGATATCATAAATCAGCTCAAATTGTTCAAGAAACAATCCATACTTTGTCACTCAGCCCACATACAGATTCATGCCCTACAGCAGGAGACTCAGGCTGAAGGCAACCAGAGAATCGAATCAGTAGTCACTTCTCCTCCTCTACCTGAAGGGCATCCAGCCTGCCTCTTCAGAGCTCTTCTCCCATAACTGAACAGAGAGAGAGAGAGAGAAAAGACCCCCACCCCCTCCCCAGATATTTGATTCAAGAGTTTTCCACATGAAAGAGTAGGAAGAATAAGAAAAGGGTAGAGCACTGAGATCAAACTAATACACTTCATTAGCAGGCTCGCTTGTGATCCAGAAGAGAACATGAGATCTGTGAGGTGATGGCACTACTTTCAATTTTAAAATTAAATGGGAGATAGTATTTGGATTTTAAAATTTAATGTGATTTTAAGCTTTAGATTTGCCTTCCATTAAAATGACAAGGAGACTCAGAGATTAAACCATGATACTCACAGAAACTGTGCCTGATTTTTTTTCAGGTAGCCTACCTCAAGGAACTTTACAAGTGACCAGATAGATTGCGTTCAACATATTCTCCTAGATTTGTACAATTATCTGTTGCATTGCACAGTTGTATGGGAAGCCCATGCACCCAGGATATCTGTGGTTTTATCCACCTGATATAGCAGTATGAGAGAACAGTGTTCTTTGGGTTGATCCCGCAAAAATGCAAACTTTCGGTTGTAATAAACAACTCATTATGTACAGGAAATCCAATGGAAGTTCCAACTTTGTTATATCAACATAGAAATCACAAAGGATAGGTGGGGATTTTCTACAAATAGGTGTACAGGAAAAGGCTACTTAGGCCACAGCCCAGGGAAGGGGTTAGAAATAGGGCATCCTATTAGGAAGCTAATTTAGGAAGAGTTCTCAGAATATGAGATTAAAAACAGACTGAAACCAACAGTGAGGGCCCCCCTCCCAGCTTGTCCTGACATTACCCCTGGTCCACAGAATGGAGTTGTATTAAAACCCACAGGCGAGTTCCCGTTTGACCACAGCCATCATAAATTGATTCCTGTGATAGTGGATACAACAGGAATTCAACTACCAGAGTGGTGCCCTTCCGCTCTTAGGAAGTTGTACCTGCACCTGATTCTGAGAGTCCTGGAATCAGGAATAGGGAGGTACAAAGGCAAGCCAAGACCTGCCTGAGTATTCACAGGAAAATAGACCTGATTAATGACCTAGCTCTTGCCTACGGGACAGGAATGTCAAATGTTAATACCCTGGATTTGGCTGATCTGGATACCAAGCTAAAAGTTGTAACCTGATAAGTTAAACACATCTTGTTGGAAATAAATGAGAATGAGTGTCAGGGTGCTGCAGGAGACTTAACTGGGAACCAGGCTAGCCACTATGTAATGACCACAGTCGAAGGCCATGCAAAAAGTATCAATCAGGGTCATTCAGGGCAAGATCATGGATGACAGCAGGTATCAAAACCTTAGCCTGTGCAACATCTATGGAGACCAAAAGACTGCAGATGCTGGAAGCCAAGGTGCACAAACAGGAGGCGTGAAAAACACAGCAAGCCAGGTAGCATCTAGAGGAAAGGAGCATCTGGAGACTGAGTCCTGAAGAAGGGTAATACCTGAAACGCTGACTGCTCCTTTCGTTCAGATGCTGCCTGGCCTGTTGTGTTTTTCCAGTGTCCTGGTTGTCCACCAACATCTATTGGAAACTGGATGATTGAGCATCCGAGAGAGGATCACAGCTATATAGGGTGAATCCCATTCTAGCTTAGTGATGAACAGTTGGACCATCTGTTTCAGAAAGAAAAAAATTACATGTAAACATCTCCTGCTGCCAACTGAGACAGCTGACCAAGGTGTGCTTTAATGAAAGCTGCAAAGGCACCCGAGGCTAAGCTGAGAATCTCAACCATCCCCAACCATTCGATCTGGTTAAACACTTTTGAAGCCAAGAATGTGGGTGTTATACAGATTGGAATATGATTAGGGGCATCATGACATTCTACCATATGCAATCAAGAAGGAAGAGAGACTGGTAGGGACTACTCTGAGCAACTGTGAGTACACCAATCAGACCATTGTATGTCTGTATCCAGACTATTTGAATGAACATGCACTCTGTGGATTCAAGACAAGGGTTAATTTAAAACTGTAATCCTGAGGCTCAGTGCCTGACAACAGATATCACTAGAGTTGTCTACAGTGGGAAGGGTAAATACTGTGTCACAACATCACTCAGGGAATGACGTAGTGACAATTCCCAGTGCCACCTCTGCATCTGTCCTCAGGTACCCGCATGAATAGGCCTAATTGAACTGACAGATATTCACAGAAGGGAAGTGACTCTCATTAATGTGAGTGACAAATGAAAGGATACGCTTGGGAATTACTTTGAAAAATATGACAGTTTTAAAACTCCTGCCAGAGAGATTGGATTAGGTTCGATTACAATTGGCTAGCACCCATAAAACCTTTACTTAAATTGTACAACACGATAAAGAATCGAATGGTGAGATAGTTGAAATTAAAGTCACTATATGGTGGGAGGATTTCTGGAACTGGAGCTCGAATATCCAGAAACACTCATTGATTGGTCTCCTTTCACACTTGGCAATCATCACCATTAGACTGGCTCTGGTATGCCTCACTATACCATTGGTCAAGTTTGCCCGATAGAAAAGGGAGCTCTTCAGACTAGTATGCATTACCATAATGTAAAATAAATGAACCATATAAATGGAAATGATGAAGGAACTCCAAGAGAGGTTGCTTATTGCAACTGGTGACTTGCATTGTGGGTATATTGCGAACCATGTATTTGGCAATTATTTGCTCTTTTCAATGTAACTATAGTAACTGGGACAAGGTCAACCAAGTGGATCTTATAGAATATGAGTTCCCTGATTGGACCAGGTTAACAGCTCCAGTCAGGGATTCCTGGCTTACAGATATAAACAGGAGTGTCAGGGGTTCTGCTCAGTCTAGGAGCCAGCACTGAGCTAGTTGGGTCAGAGTCATCTACTGTGTAAATAAAGGGTACATGGTGACGGGATACCATCATTATTTCAGTGGAGACAAGAGTGGGATTAATGATGTGACTATGCAAAAGCTCCTGGTAGCTGAAGCCCAAATGGACTTTAGGCAGGTATTACAACTGGCTTTGTCATTAGAAAATGCGGCGAATGAAGTTTATGAAATACAGTCTACACTGATGGAAGTAGATACCCTTGCAAGGCCGACTGAGCTTGAGAAACATCATTCGAGTAAAAGCAATTGTATAGTGTCACTCAGGATATATCCTGAACAGAGGGACTCTAGGTCAACCCGTAGCAAAATCCCAAAACAAAGCCAAGGTGCCTGTCTGTGTGGAGTTTGCACATTCTCCCTGTGTCTGTGTAGGTTTTCTCTGAGGCCCTGGCTTCCTCCCACAGTCCAAACATGTGCAGGTTAGGTGGATTCTCCATAGTGTCAAGGGTTGTGCAGGCTAGGTTGGTTAGCCATGGGAAATGCAGGGTTGCAGGGACAGGGTAGAGGGTTGAGTCTGGGGGCGATGCTCTTTGGAGGGTTGGTGCAGACTCAAGGGGCTAAATGGCCTGCTTCCACACTGTAAGATCTATGATTCAAATGGTTAAAATTTTATCGAGGATCCAGGTCAGTCAGCCATTGTAGATGCTGCTGGTATGCAGACTTGAGGCAGCAAAGGAGTCCCACTAGGCTTGGATTGAGTAGGAGAACTCATAGGCTGGTATCCAGGAGAGTGCACACCCTGGAAACGTCACCTACAGCTGCTTTGGAACAGTTAAATTCCTTAGCAATATCCAAATCAAAACTAATCAAAATGAATACCTTGTTAAATGGTGACCCAGTTCTAACGGAGCTACCTCAAACTGGCACAGTTGTGTCAGTAATTGCAGAAACAGTCTTTACCAAAACTTCTCTGGATTCCAACCCTTAAACTTGCATAATACTTTGTCCAGGCTGAGAATATATACCGGGGATCCACTGCAGATTAAGGGTATAACTTTGGTTCCGGTCTCTAATGAGAAGCAACTGGTTCAGTTACCACTGATTGTAGTAAAGGCTTAGGCTCAAACTTTATGGGGAGAAATTAATTGAGAAAGATTCACCTTAAATCACTCAATATTTTTCCATTAGGAAACGGTTGCCTGAATGAAATCCTAGTTAAAGACCCTTCCTTTTCAGGAAGCCATAGGGACTATCAGAGGGCCAAGACCATCTTACATGTTGACCAAGAAGCAATTCCATGATTCTGCAAGGCCCACCCACTGCCATCTGCCTTGTGTACAACAGTAGAGACAGAAATCAGGAGGCTGGAAAGCGAAGGAATCACCAAACCAGTGCAGTTTGTGAAATGGGCAACACCGGGTACCAATGGGTAAATGAGTACCAATTATGAAGCCCGACGGGTCAGTTTGCCTTTGTGGGCATTTCAAACGAATGTTAAACCACTTTTTGCAGCTGGATAAATACCCAATCCCTGGCATTGAGGACTTATACGCAAAACAAGCAGAGGTCTGTCCTTCACAAAGCTGGACATGAACTATGCGTACCTTCAGTTGCAATTAGATGAGGATTCTGAGAAGTATGTTACAATTAATACCCATGAGGGTTTGTACCAATAAATGAGGCCACCTTTTGGTCCGTCACCAGCTTGTGCCATTTTCCAGCAGACGATGCAGAACATTTTACTAAGTCCACCTCAGGTTGCTATTTATCTGGATGATGTGCTAATAACTGGAACGACCAATAAAGACCCTTTAGAGAACTTGGACATTGTGCTTAAACATTTCTCCAATGTGGGTGTACGCCTTAGGAGGGAAAAATATGAGTTCCAGGCACCCCAAATGACTTACCTGGGCTACAGAGTCAATAAGACCGATTGGAAGGTAAAGTGAGGGTGATTCAAGGTGCGCCGGCTCCCATGTCTGTACCAGAGCTTAGTCTTTCCTTGAGTTGATGAATTATTACAGAAAATTCATAAGTAACCTGGCCTTCATCCTGGCAGCACTGCATCTGCTATTGAAGAAGTGTCAGCCTTGGAAATGGTCCTGTAGCCAAGATGTAGCCTTTAGGGAAGTGAGAAGCAGTGTCTCAGGTGTTGGCACACCATGATCCCAAGAGAGATGCAGTGTGACATGCCTGTCCATACGGTATTGGGGTAGTGTTGACTCTCTGGTGGTCCAATGGTGAGGAATGCCCAATAGCGTAATCTTCCCAGACTTTGGATGATGCTGAACAAAGATACACCCAGATAGAGAAGGAAGGTTTGGTGGTCATCTTTGATGTGAGAAAGTTCCACCAATACCTTTACATACATAAATTTGTGATAGTAACAGACATCAAGTCCCTGCTAGGTCTACTTAAAGAGGGCAGGGCTGTGCCACCTGTAGCTTCAGGGCTCTTATTCTGACCGTGTACAATTGCAAGTCGGAAAATTGAACGGGAGGCCAAGTGGCAAATACGGATGCCTTGAGCCGCCTCCCACTGGCAAATACACCACAGTAGTGCTGCACTAGAAGAGCCTGTTCTGGTTTTAAACTTTCTTGATACCCTTCCGAACGCCACTGACAATATCAGACTGTGGACACAAAAGGATCCAGTCCTGGCAAAATGAAAACAGCTGGAGGTGATGGGAGAAACAAAGAGGTCGTCACAACCAGAACTGAAACCTTTTTGGACCCGGCAAGGCGAGATTACCATAGAGGACAGCATATGATTATGGCGAGCAAAAGTGGTTATCTTGAGCAAAGGTCACTGCCAGATACTGGCTGAACTCCACAAGGGTCATCCAGGGGTTTCCAAAATGAAAATGTTGGCAAGAAGTTATGTCTGCTGGCCAGGATTAGATGCCAAAATAGCTGCATTGGTTGGGCAATGCCCAGAGTGCCATAAGGAACAAAAATTCCCGCCATCAGCTGCCCACATTCACGGGAATGGCTGGATACTGGATTTGATTACATGCCGACTATGACAGTCCTTTTATGGGGTCTACGTTTTAGTCATTGCGGATGATCATTTAAAGTGGTTGAATGTGCATGGTGTTCATTTGGCAAACATGGGGACGACGATAGAAAAATTGCGAGCATCTCTTGCAATACACAGACTCCCAGAGGTTTTGGTCACAGACAATGAGCCATTATTTACCAGCAGGAAATTCAAGTATTTTGCTATGTAAGGACAGCTCCATACCATCCATCGTCCAAAGAGCTGGCAGAAATACAGTCCAACATTTGAAGGCAAACTTAAAGAAACAGGCTATAGCTTGACTCAATACCAAACTGTCCTGGTTCCTGTTTGATTATCGGACCACCCCTCATGCAACTACAGGGACATCTCCAGCAGAGTTGCATCAGATTAAATCTGATCTTCCTGGACCTCGGGGGAGGGGATAATGACATCAGGAATGCCAATGTTGGACACAAGACTCTTCTAAGTGAGAGAGGCAGTTAACCTCAGGGGTCGAAGTTTGGTGTTGAAACCACAGGAATGGCCCTACAAGGGTAAGGGGCATAGTCAATGCAATGTCATGTCCTGTGATGTACAAAGTTCAGATAGGTGAGGCCGCCCTGACAAGCACGTGGACTACATGAAAGCTGCAATGTCACAATCACCGCAGGAGGAAAACATACCCGGTCCCTCAGAACATCCAGCAAGGCTCTCAGAACCCGTCGGTTCTGACCCTCTGGTTAGCATTGAAGAAACCTCTGAGGATGAGATGGATATGGCAGATGTTGCAGCCTCAACGCCATTACCACCTGAAGAAGATGATGAATTTCAGCCGAGACGCTGCAGATACAAAAGGCGGGCTCTGGTCCAGCACACACTGCCAGTATCTAAGGTAGAGTTGGAGTAACCAGACATGGTGCAAAAATGCCCTAGGAGATGCTACAGGCAAAAGAACAGGTCTACGTACCATGACTTAGACGGGGAGGGATGTAGTGATTAGAACAAGGTCAGCCAGATGGATCTCAAAGAATATGAGTTCCCTGACTGGGACTGTTAACCTGGTCCAATCAGGGAGTCCTGGATGACAGATATAAACAAGAGTGTCAGGGGTTCTGCCCAGTCTAAGAGCCAGCTCTGAGCTAGCTGGGTCAGTGTCGTGTACTTTGCACATATAAATAAAGGGTGATTTGGTAAAGGGATACCAGCCTCCATGAAGTTATTTCAGTAACAGTTTTATTTATGTAACTTTTCTTGATAATTTTTTAATGTCTTTTTTTGATAACTTTTTAAATGTAATGGGTTTTAACATATTGGGTGTGTAAGAAGTTAGTTGAACGGAAGAGGGCAGCAAAATGTGATGCTGATTGGTTGACATGGGGAAGATTTGCATCAGTGCATTCACTGCTTCCAGAAGGTGGTTTGTGGAGGGGTGTTGTCAAGTGACAGTAAGTGTCCTGGGTAGCGGGATGAATCCAGTAAGCAGGACACCAACAACATCAATAAGGACATCACCATGAAACTACTAGATTTGCGCCTCACAACCCACTTCATCTTCAATGACAACACATATAAACAAATCAACGGAACACCAGTGGGATCCCCAATATCAGGACTGATTGCAGAAGCAGTAATGCAAAGGTTAGAACGGACAGTGCTCCCCACTATACAACCTAAACTTTGGGTCCGATATGTAGATGACATCTTTGTGATTATTAAAGCGCAAAACTAGAAGAAACCCACCGACACATAAACAACAAAATTTATGAAAGAAGAAGAGAACAACAACCGACTACCTTTCCTGGACATAATGGTAGAACGCAAAAACAATGGGGAACTCCAGACTGGCGTGTATAGAAAGACCACACATACGGACCAGATACTCAATTACACTAGCAACCACCTGAACACCCATAAACAGAGCTGCATCAGGACACTATTTAAATGAGCCACAGCACATTGTAGCAACCCAGAACTAAGCAAAGCAGAACAGGAGCACCTATATGGAGTCTTCAAAAGGAATGGATACCCGAAAAGCACAATCCACCGTTACCTCCGAGACAGACCACAACAGGAAGACACAACAAGACCAGACTCACTTATCACCCTGCCATACATCAAGAACATTTCAGAGATGACCACAAGACCACTCAGACCCCTAGGTATCAGAGTAGCCCACAAACCGATAACTACCGACTAACATAAAGGATCCCATACCCAAAACCAGCAAAACCGGTGTAATATACAAATACCATGCAAGGACTGTGAGAAACACTACGCAGGCCAAACTGGAAGAAAATTGACAATATGGATACATGAGCATCAACTAGCCACCAAGAGAGACGACCAAGTTTCACTTTAAAAAACCCAAAAGAACTGCAGATGTTGTAAATCAGGAACAAAAACAAAGTTGCTGGAAAAGCTCAGCAGGTCTGGCAGCATCTGTGAAGGAAAAAATAGTTAACATTTCAGGTCCGGTTCTGAGGAAGGGTCACCAGACCCGAAATGTTTTTTATTACCAATTCTCACTTGTCTCACTACACATGGACAACAAGGGACACAAATTTGACTGGGACAACACATATATAATTGCACAAACCAAACAGAGACACACCAGGGAATTCCTGGAGGTCTGGTATTCCAACCAGAACTCCATCAACAAACACATTGAATTAGACCCTGTGTACAAACCACCGAGAAACAGAACTGGAAGTAATACCAACCACCCTAGCTAACCTAGGCATATAAATAACAAGCGGGACAGAACACCAACGCTTCACCGGAGGCGCACTGATGATGTTAGCTAGCAGGGTGACAAAATGTTTGCAACCAAACACGCTGCTGGCTCAGCGAGCATGTCTACAACCTCATATTCTATCCATTTGGCCACTTCACAATATCTTTTAATTGTGCTTTCTTTAAATGTCTACTTCAATTGGCATGAAATCATTTGACCTTTGGTACTAAATATCTGGGTTACTTCTGCCTCGTGCAAAATATTATTTTTATTTCCCAATGGATTATGCACTGTGTATGATTTGGCCTACAACATGGATTTTTCTGTATCAATGGAAAGTACACTACAGTATAGAAAATTTTGCTCTATGTAAAAACAAATTATATATTTATGACTTAAAAATACTGAACATGTACGTATATAAGCCATCAATACCTCAAAATTAAATTGGAGATATTGAGGGAGCATCTCTAGACATGGCTGGATACAACTTCTGCCTCCCCATGGATGCAACCATAGGCACATTAAAATGTCAATATCAAGCATATTTGGCACTTGCACCATTGGTGGTACAACAGCTCAAACAAGGTAAGCAAAGAAGTCCCCTCCAATGACATGCTGTTGCATAGGTTACCTGCTGTTAATCTTTAAA